GGGAGGGCTCTCCGGGCAAGGCCAGGCCCGCGGCCGCTCGCAGGCCCGGGCCCGCAGCCGCCGCCGAGCGAGACGAACGCGGGCCCCCCACCAGCGTGGCGGCGCTGCGCTCCAACTTCGAGAGGATCCGCAAGGGCCCCGGTCAGCCCGCGGCGGCGGCGGACACCGAGAAGCCCTTCTACGTGAACGTCGAGTTCCACCACGAGCGTGGCCTGGTGAAGGTCAACGACAAAGACGTGTCGGACCGCATCAGCTCCCTGGGCAGCCAGGCCATGCAGATGGAGCGCAAGAAGTCGCAGCAGCAGGGCGCCGGGCCGGGCCCCGCGGACACCCCCAGGCCCTCGCATCGTGGGCGCGCCTCCGAGGGCAGCGGCTGCGGCGGCCTCGACGGCGACTATGAGGACGTCGAGCTGAACCCGCGCTTTCTGAGGGACAACCTGATCAGCGGCAGCGGCAGCGGCGGCGGCAGGCCCCCGTGGCCGCCCCTGGAGCACCAGCCCTACCAGAGCATCTACGTCGGGGGCATGATGGTGGAAGGGGAGGCCAAGGGCTCGCTGCAGCGCAGCCAGAGCACCTCGGAGCAGGAGAAGCGTCTTACCTGGCCGCGGAGGTCCTACTCCCCGCGGAGCTTCGAGGACAGCGGAGGCGGCTACACGCCGGACTGCAGCTCCAACGAGAACCTCACGTCCAGTGAGGAGGACTTCTCCTCTGGCCAGTCCAGCCGCGTGTCCCCGAGCCCCACCACCTACCGGCCGTTCCGGGACAAGAGCCGCTCGCCCTCGCAGAACTCCCAGCAGTCCTTTGACAGCAGCAGTCCCCCGACGCCCCAGTGCCAGAAGCGGCACCGCCAGGGCCCCGTCGTCGTGTCGGAGGCCACCATCGTGGGTGTCCGCAAGACGGGGCAGATCTGGCCTAGTGATGGGGACAGCTTGTCCGGCAAGCTGCCTCAGGACGCAGACGCAGGTAAGTGCCTCTGCGAGCCTGCTGGGCACACCCGAGAGGCCGGGGTGCAGGGCAGGTAGGTACTTTGTGGAATGGTTCTCAGGCGCCAGTGGTGGGCTGGAAGGATTCGCGCCCGTTCCCCTACCTGAACAAACTCCATCCCTGCTTTCCTCCTGAAAGCGGATTCCCAGCGTCTGGAGTGGGATGCGGGTGGGAGGGGTGGTCTGTCAGAATGGTGGGGGTGGCTCCTTCCTTCGGGTCTGGAGCCTGTGCTTTCTCGTGAGAGTGCTTCCTCTCTGTGGGTCGGGACCAGGATCGCCTGGGGCAGCAGGGATGGTCTGGGGGGGGCGGGGTGTCATCTCTTCCCTCTGGGTGGGTACTTCAGCAGGGACTGATCCATGTCTTGGGCAGTCCCCGCCACCTGCCCTGGGAGAGTTCCACGACACATCCGGGGAACCCACGGGATGCCAGCTGCTCCCAGGCTGGAGGAGCGTTGGGTTCGCTCTCTGGGCCAGCAGCCCCAGAGCAAGTCAGAGCAGGTGAAAAATACAAACCAGGAGGAAGGGAGGCCACAGGCAGTTCTGACTCAGTGGGCTACCAAAGAGCCGGGGCTGAAGCAGGGCCACACCCGTGCTGATCTGTCGGGTTTGGACGGGAGACCTCACCGCTGGGCGTCTCACCCCCGCTTTGTCGTCCCCCTTGCCCACCCATGCTTATGTTCGGCTCCCAGTCCATGGTCCGGCTCCTGGCCCCGAGATTAAACCCTCGGGCCCGTGTGTATAACGCGTGTGCACACCTGTGTACAGACACCGTGTGGTGCTGGGCTAATGGGACGGGGTTTCGAGAGCCAGGCGCAGTTTGTGGTGGGAGTCAGGACCGGGATTTGGGGTTGTTGGGGTGAGGCAGTTGGGAACCTGGCGGAGTCCCCGGCCCCTGCTGAGCTGGTGTGGTTTTCCACTCCATTGACCTTTTCTTTTTCTGCCGATGGAGTTGTGTGTGCATGGTTGGTCAGAATCCTCTTGAAACAAGTGAGGCTATTTTTGGCTCTGTGGAGGGGCCTCTTTGCCATCCGCGCTCCGTCCTGTTTGTTTTGGGCTCATCTTGTTGCTGACTCTGTCCGAGCTGTGTTGCTGGGACCTGTGGCGGGGTCCAGCCTCATCCTCCAGGCCCCTCGTGTGTGGGGAAGCGGTAGTATTGAGCAGACCGCTTTGCAGGCAGCTCAGCTCCTCTGGGCTCTGGAGGATTGCCCTGTGGTTGCCGGGCACCAGCGCCGTCTGGCCAGCTGTTGGCCAGGCTAACCAGCTTGGATTGGCCCTCAGCACCCGCGAGAGTACGTGTGAACATTGTCAACAAAGGAGGAAAGGAGAGCTTCTCGTGGAGACCTGTCGTCTGAAACTGTGTTCTCTTGCTGGGGGAGGTGGGAGTTTCCAGCCAGTGGGGCTCTGTTGGGGTGGTGTGTTTGGGGGGCCTCCCCGCAGGCCATCTCCGGAGCTCGCAGCCCCTCGCCTGCCTTCAGCACCTGCTCTGTGGGTGACACAGGGTGGGCTCCCAGCCGAGGAGGTCGTCTGACAACTTGCACCACCCCCTCCCCTTTGGCCCTTGGTGAATCCTGCTCTGAAAGCCCTCCAGGGTTGCACCTTGTGTCTCCTGCTGGGTTTTGCAGCTCCTGGCAGTTTCAGCTCTGGGAGCCTGCCCAGCCGGCTTCTCTGAGCCCTCTGAGGCGTGTGGCTGGAGGCGAAGGCGGGACTGCCAGGGCCAGGCCATCTGTCTCCTTCCCGACATTTGCCTGCGTTCCCTAGATGCCCGCCGGCCAGGGCCCATGCCTCTGACGTGGGGCAGTGAGGAGGGTCCCAGTGTGGATGGCGGGGACCTCACCTAATTCTCTGCTGCAGCAGCTTCTGTGTCTGAGGGGAGGGAAGCAGCTGGAATGGTGACCGTGCCCTGACACGCGTGTTCCCAGGGAGCTCGGCCTCACCCCCCCCACCCCCATCTGCAGATAAGGATGCTGCCAGGAAGTGGCAGAGGGGCCTCCAGGTCCCTCGGGGACGCGGACCCCTGGTCCTTTCCACTGCCCTTCACACCCCTGAGGAACAGGGCTGGGTAGGGCCCCGGGTCCTTCCAGCTGCGAGCCCCGCTGTGTGCAAGCCCACCCCTCCCACCGTGCGAGCTGAGTGGAAGGAGGGAGCGTGGTCCTTGCCTCCGCTTGGGAGCTTAAAAGGGAGTGGGAGATGGGAACGCACACAGCCCAGGGCCGGGTTGGGAAGGTGGGAAGGCGGCTGTGCCCACCCTCGTCCCTTAAATTCCTCTCTGGGACTCTGGCCATCCCTTCCTGAGAAAGGCCGCTCAGCCAGGCCCTTTCCTCCTGACGTCCGGGGCACCCTCGCCGTGTGCTTCCCCCGTTTCTACCTGGGCTCCGGCGGTGGCCACGCTGTTCTTTCCTGTTTCTAAGCAGTGAATTTGCCCTTTGGATCCTGGTGACATGTTATTGTCAGAGCGATCACGACTTTGTTGTTGCCTTGGGTTGTTGAGTGGACCGGTGACCTGCGTGAGTAGTGTCGGGCAGAAAACGGTCTTTCGGGCCTGGCCCGGCCTCCACCAGCTTCACAGACCAGACGGAGCCTGTGGGCACCTCCAGGTTGAGCCTGAGTGCTGCCTCCTTCCCGGGGACGGAGGCAAAGTCTGAGACCGTTTAAGTCATCGACAGGCTGGAAAGGGACTCTCGATGGAATTCTACAAGGATTATCCGGCTCGGAAAGGATGGCTTTCTGGTTTGGGGAACAGAAGGCAGCGTCCTGGGCTTTTCACCGAGGGAGGAGCTGAGGTGTGGATGTGTGTGGGTCCAGGCCCCAGCGCCCCACATTCCACCTTGTTCTGGCTTCAGTACGGCCTCCCCTCCCTGGCCAGGAGTCCTGTGGCCCAGCCCACCCCATGGTTTCAGAGGGTTCCGGGTTCATGGCGAACGGACAGGCCTCTTCTCAAGTTGACGGACAATAGGCCTGAGTTTTGACTTGAGTCTGGTTTTTAGGTGAAGGCTCAGGAGATGGTGGAGGATTTAATAAACTTGGAGCCCTTTGGGGGTCTTGACCCGGACTGGAATTAGAACTGTGCTTAATTCATGCTGGATTTTTTTTTCCTTTTTCCTGAANGAAATCTATTTTCCCTTCGGTCCTGGAGTCTGCAAATCCAAGATGAAGGTGCCAGCGGGCACGGTTTCCTCGCAGACCTCTCCTTGGCTGGCAGCCGGGCCCCCCTTGATGCCCTTTCACAGGGTGGTCCCTCTGTGCCCGTGGACCCCTGGTGGCCCTGTGTGTCTCTGAAACCTCTTCTGCTTATAAGGACACGATCCGCATTGGCCTAATTGACTTAGGACCCCACCCTGATGACCCGTCATGAGAAGCCTGCCTCCCACGTTCTGAGATGCTGGAGGCTAGGCCCTCAGTGTGTGAGTGTGGGGGCGGAGGGACTCAGGTTGGTCCCCAGCACTCAGCGAGTCCTTGATCAGACAGCAGAGACCTGGTACGTGAGCAGCCTCGCCCCAGGTTTTAGGAGGAATTCATGGTGAGGTGTTGAGCGGCCCACTGAGGCGGGGACTGCTGGCCGGCCGCATCTCTTTCCTCATCTAGAAGTTAGGGGTTGGACTCTGTCACTGCTAAAAGATCCTTTCCTTCTTTTCTTTTTTTGGCATTGAGGCTTGCAGGATCTTGGTTCCCCAACCAGGGATTGAACCCAGGTGTCCACGGCAGTTAAGAAAAACGCCAAGTCCTAACCACCGGACTACCAGAGACCTCCCTTGAATTTCTTCCTTAAATTGATGAACGTGGTGTTTGCAAGTCTTTTCTTTATGCCCGTTTGTACCTGTGTTCCTGTTACCATGGCCACCTCTCCCCGTTCGGACCCTCAGAGGGGTTTACTGGGCATCTGCTCAGGGCCTGGCCCCGCCCCCCGGAAAGCCGCTCGTGTCTGTATCCACAGGTCTGTGGGCAGGCTGCTCCCCTGTGCCTGTCTTTGAGAAGCAGGGCAGACAGCGCCTTGGTGATGTCCCCGTGCCTTCCTTTAGCTGTGTGCACGCTGTGGTTTCCTGTTAGTCCTGCATCTGCGTGGTTTCCTCCTTCCGCGTGGTGCGTCCTTAAGACAGAGACCTGCCCGTGGCATCTGTACCTCGGGAGCTGCTGGGTCTGGGGGTCTCGGGTGGAGCGCGACCCCGCCCCCCATCTCTGAGGATCCTGTTTGCTCAGCCCCTCCTTGTTCTGACCCCACTGGGCTTACCACCCCCCATCTGATAATCAGCACTGATTTGGGGGTCCTGACAGCACAGGTTCCCCAGCAAGGGAGCTTGTTGGCTTTGAAGGTGACTTCCGAGGCCATTTCTGCTTTTTTGCTGAGACTGGGGCTCCTCTTGCTCAATCCTAAGAGCTTCCCGAATCCCCGGCTCGAAGGCGTGGGTTAGGTGGCGGCTGGCGCCCGGGGTGCGGGCGGGGACCGTGAGGCCCAACCTGGGAAGTAAACCTGGCTTTGGAGGAGGCTGTTTCATGTGCCCTTAGAACATTCTTGTGAAGCGGCTGGAGTGCGATTATTATCATAATTATACGCTGTCCGTCAGATCGGCTCTGTGGGGGCGTGGGACCCGTACCCCCGCCCAAGATCACGTGGTCGGTGCAGGGGCCTGGCGCCGGGCACTGTCCTTGGCTGGTGAGCAGTGCCCGGCGCATGAGAGTGGGCCCTGAGTGAGGGACCCCTTGGCTAGGGTTAGGGGCACCCGATGCGTCACGACGGAAGCAAACAGACATCTACCGCAAGGTACCCTGAACCCGTCCGTCCTCCTGGGGCACCCGGCTCAGATTCCACCGGCAGGTTGCGCAGCAGAGGGTCCGAGAGGACAGACCTGTTGGGGAGACGCTGCCCGCCCCTCTGCCCCGTCCATCCAGCTGGGGAAGGGTCATGACGCTGGCCGGCTCTGGGCAGGGCCTGCCTGGGAGGAGGTGACCGAGGTGCGTGGCCGTGTGCACAAGCGGGGTCAGCACACGGCCCGAGGGGTGCCAGGAAGGCCCCGTCTGTGGCCGAGAGACCGCAGCGTGCGGACTCTGCAGGGAGCAG